GGGGGGGAGAGAGAGAGAGAGCGCGCGCAACATCTTATTTGGCAAAATTACAAAATCCATGTAACTGAAATGTGACTGCCCAAAGTTGTACAAGCTAAAAAGTGTTGGCAAAAGGGAAATTCTGCTTTTTTTCCTCTGCAATGAGCTAAAAAAAGCCAAAACAGAAGACAGTCTTTAAATAATGTCATAGATTAAAAGTAATAAAAAAAGGAAACATAGTCTAAACTTGCAGAAGGATTAATAACTTCTCCCACACCTTCAAATTGTTTGGATGCTTATGTGTCCATGCTAAAAGCATAGCAGCGAACAAGTCTCCTGTTCCAACAAAGACAGCATCCACTTTAGGAGACTCCACTCGAATTCTTTGTGTCATCTTGGTACCATCTGCTTTAGCTACAACACAGATAGACAGTTAAGTAACAGATCCAGCAATTAATACAATAGCATTTACTATAATTTAAAAGTGATCACCATATTTGAATTCCTTTGTTGTTTGGAACATAAAGATGCTACGGAGTAGTGCAAACTTTGTACCAGCTCTTTTAAAAAGTGCAACCTTTAAAACTTTGTGAAGTTGGGATAGCATTTATGACTTATATACTGTACATACTTCACTTAAGAGGGAGGAGGTAGCTAGCACCCTCATTTTCATAAAGGATTGAGCGCCACCTATTTTCCTTTAGACAGCAGCAGCAGCTTGCTCAGGAAACCACATATTTATAGACTGCTGAATCCTAGATGGGGCATCCCAAACCATAATCTACAGTATCTCTGGGTTGTATGGAGGCACAAGAGCACCTGTAGACATCAGCAGAGAATATCTGACCCATGTGCCATATTGTAATCACCATTGGAATGACCAGACTTAATCCAGACCTGGCATGTACTGAGTGCTAAAACCCACTGACTGATTCTTAGTAGAACCTGTTTTAAACATCAAGACTTTTTCGGTCTCTCAGCAGTCCAGATTTTGATGCCCACATTTAGATCCCTTAAATGAACAAGAAAACAAGATCATATACCATCCCACATAACTATGCCCTTCTCAGGTAAAAACATCCTGCAACAGTCCAAACACACGGTCAATCTTGGTGACGGTATAGAAAGGGATATAAAGAAGGAGCAGCAGGACATTTTACAATCTGCCAAGGGAGGAACAATCTGCTAAAAGGACAGTGTAACTTTTCATAAAAGCATTCAAAACATTCAAAGTTCCTGTTCCATACCACTACCACTTGTCATGGGCGCTACTAAGGGCTTTAACAGCCCTGATCAACCTCACCTAGGACATCCTCCACCCATGCACCCTCTGCCCACTTGTCCAGGTGCTGCACGGAAGCTTAGGCCCAGGCGCAAGCATGCTTGCCTGAGCTATGTTGTAGGTGTACCTGTGTACAGCCCTGCTGTCCCGACTTAGTGACTGGATTTTCCAGATTAATCTTGGGTTTGGCTTGTCTCACCTTCCTGTGATGATCACTGGACTGTCAACGGGACCCGTCTGCCATCACCACCCCTGTTCTGCTCACCTTATTCAGATACTGTGAGCCTGTGCCCTGTTGGTGAGGACAGTGCTCTGCCTGTGCTACACTCAGCTCCCAGCTTGTCTTCCCTCATGGAGCAGCCCCATTCTTACTGCTTTCTGGTATTACTGCAGGAGAAGTTCACTTAGGGATCTAAGCTCCTTCCATGCACTACAGATGGGTCTGATGAAACTACTTCTTAAAAAAAAGTAACTGAAAGCACAGAACAGCTTAAAAGAAAGCCTAGTTTCATGAAGGAATTTATGACTTACTTTTTCTGTGGCTTCCCAGAGCAATTAGGTAGTCATTTCCTAGAGGTGCCTGCAGATCTGAGCTTGTGATCACCACAGTCTCTGGTCCCATGGCATGGAGCATATCCATTACCTTTCCATATGCAAAAAGGCAAGAATCAGTGACTGCAATGTGTGTTGACTAAACCTTGCATCACTCATAGTACTGAGGATTTTTGACAAGCACCTTATTTTGGCATGTTGAAACACTTGCTAGAAAGCCAATAACTTCAGTTCATGAAGTCTGATTTAGCTACTACTTTAAGAGTTAGCAAAAGTGAAGAGTTAAAGAGCTAAATCAGAGGCACAAGTGTGTCTGTCTCAATCTTCTTTTCTCATTCTGTTTCAAACCCCAAATTACACCTGTAAATTATGTACCTCTGCAGATGTATTTCTACTCTGTGTGTTCCTCACTTAAACTCATTAATACTCTACTTCTGACATCACAATTAGTTGCTACAGAAGTGATTTTGATTTCACAGAAGAAAGAATGACTTCAATAATGAGTTTAGCATAAAACACAGATAAAATATTAATTCTCCCAGAAGAGTTTAACTAAAAATCCTCTCAGGCTACCTATGATTCATAAGCAGCTGAATGATATGGATTTATTTCTGCTATTTTTTAATTCTCTATTGCTTTTCTTCCTTGTCTAAGCCTCCAAGTTTCTTCAACTGTCAGACCTCTTTGCACAGACATCAGCTGGGTTTTAAAGAAGCAGTAAATCCACCAGCATACGATGACATAATCAACCTGTGAAGTAACATTAAACTCAATTCCATTTCTCAGTCACAGTTCACCAAGAACCTAATCACCAGTATTTCTAGTTGGAGGACCTAGCCCCTTCTACATTAATATTACATCGTATTTAATTTTATGTTAGAAGACTATACTGTCATCACTAGTCTTGCTAAAGAAATAAATGTCAGCATGTCACCATGGAAATGGATGCCAGAATTCCTAACACCTCCAAAGGGGACAAATTCCAGCATATGGATTATTACTCAGAAGGATAGACCTATATATGACATGCAGCTGGAGAGGCAGACAGATTAAAATATAATATCCTGCAAGCAAATATTTTAAAAATGTTTCCATTCCTTAGTATAATTCCATCTCTTTAGATGAGATTTTTTAAAACCCATCACAAATAACAGCTATCACATGAATCAGACAGACTGTCAGAAAACTAACAGCTGCTCAGCTAATAGTGTGATTCTCAAGACTATGGTTCCACTGGTGAGGATGAGAATAGAAGAACTGAGTTGTAGTTAGCAGCTAGTGACATGAAGTGTAGTTCATCACCCTCGCCTAGCACACTGGGGTAATGCAAAACTTGGCGGGGGAATATTGAAATAGCAGAGATCTTCAGAGCTACTTCCTGCCATGAAGAGATGATAATCAACCCATGTTGCATGACATTGCTGGAGGAAAAAAAGAACAAATACTTGGGCTGACAGACCCCAGCTACTCTCCAGGGTGCCACTGCAGCTGCTATTTGTTTAAAGATTTTGTGTTCCTTTGAAGTTCAAAACCAAACTGGAAGAAATAACATCATTCCATTATGAAAGCACTTGACTAGTCAACAAAACAAAGAGCTCAGACCTTTTCAAGACACCAATAAAACCATATTCCTATTTTGTCCTTCATCACCAAGGCCTGCAGCTTTTTCTTTTCTTCAGTTTGCATAAAAGGGTAAATTCTTACACCTCAAATGCAATGTATTTGCAGACCATCTATCATCTCTGTATGGCGATGACAGCAGCTATCAACACTGTGGATTTGTCTGTCTTTCACTAGGAAGTACCCGAAGGCCATCACTCCCAGTCTGCTTTCTCATCTATGCAATCTATCCTTTTGCAACCCAGGTCTCAGACCCTTTGAGTCAAGTTAAGGAAAAGAAACAGAGCACCAGCAAACACTGTCAGGAAGTGATTCAGCATGTATTCAATCCATCCTCGTAAGAGTTTGCTAGTAAGCTCTCTTCCTTGCAAACGGCCTGTATGGGAGAAACGACTGTCCCAACACACAGCATTGCCGTTGCACGACTCACGTGTGGACGGCAGAGGGAGCGACACACGCAGGTTTCTAATGCCCAAGGTCACTGGGGGTTTTCACCCCAACCAGTGCACTTCCACAGCACTGACCATGTGTGGTTACTTGCCATGTGTGCTGCTGCTTCCCTTCTTACACTGCAGGAAAAAACAAGCTCACAGAGATCTACTCATTACCACTCTAATGCCTTTTTCTGTAGTTCTTTTGGGAAGTTTCTTCAGAAGTCTGACACTAGAACAGAAAAGTGTTTTGTGCCTGGAGTGCACAAGCTTTAATGATAAATGGAGAGAAAGGACAGAGGCCAAAGTGACTTCAACTTTAAAGACAAATGGCAAACTGCAGCATTGCAGGCAGGAATAGAGAAAGAGATCTTACACATTCTACCCCTTGCCTACTTACCTCTAAAGCCTCTTTTTCTGTGTGAATCTTCCTGCCTGTGAGCAACCTGAAAATGAAAGAGAAATCTTAAAAGAGCACACGTACTCCAGGCAATGACTGCTTTGTTTACTCTTTGAAAGGAGGAAAGATTGGACTGCACACCATATAGGCCTAAACACTTTGTAGCTACATAGTCTGCCATACCAGACCACTGTCTTTAAAAGTTATGTGCACAGATCAAGAGTGCTTCCGGAGCAGACAACCACCAGCCCTAACCTGCCTCCTGTAGAGGAGACCCCTGTATCATAAAATTTCCTCACAAGTGTCTTCTCTCCATCTCCCATGTAGCTGCTCCCTCCCCTTAGGGGAATAGCCTATGATATATCACAACCAAAAAGTCACAACTAGGCAGACAAAGATGGGCAGGAGGCATTTAAATTCTTAACTCCTATGAGATGTTGCCGTGGTAGTATTTCTGAACCTAATTTTGGGGGTTTGAGTCAAACTATTTCAGTTTTGATATTCTGACATAATAATAAAAATCTTCCTAGGAATGGGTAAGGACGGGAAAGGGAAGAGAGGTATTTTTTCAACCTGCCCTACATACAGCCCTCTGGAGACAACAAGAAGTAATCATGAAAACAAGACAGGAGAAAACAAGAGAAATCTTTTCCTCAAATAGCTCCCAGATTTTTTATTGGTTTCAATATGGAACAGTTGGACATTTGCTGAAAAGCACCACTTGAAAGTAACAGCTAAAAACCAAACCCCAACACATACATACATATGGCACTGTATTGAGACAAATAAAAGAATGGGTATCAGTCGCCCCTGCTTTTATCTCCAGTTTTACATTTGGCTGTAAAAGGAAATAAATACTTACTCAGCTTCAAACTGGTTAGGAGTAATTATATCAGCAACAGGTACAACTTTGTCCCTGTAAACTGGGAGGAGATCCTTGGGCACATACTACGGGAGAAGAAACAGTATCAAATGTCAACAGCATCTGAGATGTGGGACTGCAACTCTCCTTCCCTCAACTACCATTCATGATGTCACTGAGTAACTTGACAGCTCCCAGTGTACCGTTATGCAGCACTAATTAAAATGGCAGTGCACCCTCTGGCTGGTGGCAGTAGAGCCAACAGCCCTTCTTTCACTGGAGGCAATGAGAAGCACCACTAAGGAGACAGGCCTAAACTGTCAGCATTAAAAGGAAGTGGTGCCTGGATGAAGAACTTTTGGGTTCCCTCTCATCAAGGCAACACAGCAGCACAAGGAAATACAGCGTCCCAAGATGGAGAACTCTTTCTCATGCCCTTACCTGCAAAAGAAACTACTTTGTTGCTGTACCAACAGTACAGAGGTCCTTTGCTGCGGCAGCGTGTTGCCCACATTGACTGTGTTGTATTGTGGGGCTTAGGAACAAGTAACATCCATGATGTGTTATTTTGTCTCCTTCTTTCAGTACAGTATTTCTAAGGTGTGCTGTACATTAATATGCATGAACAGGAATCAGATTTGTAATCTGTTCAGTACAACTTAATCTAGATAGCAGGTCTGATAAGGACATTAAAAATATTTTGCCTGTGTTGCACCCAAGTCTAACCACTAGCATACTTCATTGCCTGCAGAACCAGCTCTTCCAGTAATGAGTGCCAGTACTCCCCTTTCTGCCTGCCTGTTCCATCTTCCTTAGCTAAATACGGCCAGGCAGCAAAGGAAACTTGGTTGTTTAAGCAGGTGACAAACACCAAGATGTAGCAGGAGCCCACCAGTCTGTATGCTCTTCAGACTCAAAGCTGAAAAGCATCAGCTGTTTTGGCACACACTGGAGCTCAGCTAAGTGTTTGAATTAGATGGGTACAGGGGTCACCCCCCTTTCCTGAGCCCTGCTGTAAATCAATTTGACAAAACCTTTAATAAAGTTCATTGTTTACTAGCAGCTGATATTCTTTGGCATTTGCTACATCAGGATTAATATCCTCTTTTGTCCATGTTTTATTTCTCTGTTAGGCTCATAAGCTACCCAGGGCACACGTATACATGTGTCCATGTGTTACTGTCTCCCATTCCAATTGTATCAGCAACAGATACAACCCCACCACAGTGTTGACTGCTAGGTGCTACAGGAATACTCATCATACTGATGCTGAGTTCACTCATGCAGTAATGGTGAAGTGGTGATGTCACAGGGACTCTGTCTTTAGATAGAAGTACAAGACTAGGTCATGTCTAAACCAATGTGTTTTAATTAATGATTTGATTACATTTTATGGCAGGAATGAGTTGGCGGGTTATGTGTTAAATTTTCTGCTCTTCCATCTACCCTGTCTTCCACCCAAAAGACCTAGGTAGGCCCATGGTTCTGATTTCTTCCAAGAGCTAAGGCTTTGCAAGGTGACTCTACAGCTATTACATCTCTGCCTTGTTAGAAAAAGCCAAGGACAATAAATATTGCAATAGACATAAAATGAAAGAATAGACTACAAAAGCAATGGTGAATTTATTACTAAGTGCTATTTCATGCGATATTTTATGAACACGTAAACTGGAAAAAGGTACAAGGACAAAGAAGAATTCATAGCGCATGACTAGCTAAAGCAGAAGAAAACATAAAATATCATTATTGCTGTTGTCTTCCCATGTTGCATTTTTACTGAAATTATTTGCTAGTTTTGATCAGAAAGGAACATTTCTTTGTCAGTATGCAGTTTGGTATTGGCACACAGAACGTTTCTGTCACTGATCACAGCCCAATGCCTAACAGCTGTTGGATCTCACATGAAGTCAGTCATCTTCATTTAGGTTCAAGTGGTATTTCAACCCACATGATCACTGACAATGCCAGCCAGGCTACCAGAGCTCTTGACAGAAGATGAGGGAACTCCAGTGAGACAAGAAGGGGGAGCAGGGGGATATTTTCCTGTGGACAGGGTCTGTATTCCACCTGTTGTCTCAGCAGAGAGTTAGAAATAATCCCAGTGCTATGCAGCCATCATACTTCCTAGATACTAAACTCATTCAAATACAGGAAATTAAAGTACAAACTTACTTTATGCTGGGATCCAAAGCCACACTTAGGTAAAGTAGCTTAGTTTTGGTGTTTAAAAATCAATAAATCTTTATATAGCAAATATTCACTATACAGAGAATCCAAACAGATTAGTACTAACCATAGAGCCTTCTCCATTCCATTTGTCACCCATCACTGGATCGCACACTGTAACAGAACAAAAGCGGCTTTAGAAATGGGGAACAGTCATAGAGACCCTGATGGGAGGGAAAAGTTTTAGGCAACAGTAGTGGCTATATAAGAGCACTGAGCACCTGACAGCTCATATACTCACTTACTCCCAGCCCATATACTCACTCCTGCAGCATGCTCAACCAGAAATTTCTAACTGGTGGCTGCCAATTCTGAAAGAGTAGGCTGTGTCTTAAACAATTGTCAGAGGGTTGTAGTCACCCTCTCCTACCTGCTTCCATGTTGTTATGTCTGAAGTTGATGAGGATGAGAGGGTCTGACTGCTGGGAGTGAAGGGGCTTTTGTTAGGGAAAAGGCAGACAGCCCTACCCTTCACTCTCCAACCTAAAACTCTGGAATAGTAATACAGTGGGGAAGAAATGTGGGAGAAGCTAAGAGCGGTGAAGAGAGTCCTATTTTTACTTGAGTATAAAAAGAAACATGCTAAACGTACACACCAAAATGCTGTGTGTACACAAAAAAGATTACGTGTATTATAATGAAACAAGAAGAAAATCCATGCCAAAGTACATAAACATACTTGCTGTAATAATATTAACACACATTTGGCACAGGTTCTGAATCATCAGCAGTATTAACAACATATTCCAAGCACCCTCAGTTTCAAAGTACGGATGAAAACAGCCTACCCTTGTACTTTAAAAAGGAACATTGTTCATTGTATTAAAAGAGCTTTTAGCAAGACAAAAAATAAATACAAATACAGAGGTATCAAATCAATGTCCAATCAGTATTTAAGGAAGTTTCTATGAGTAAGAAGAGAGTAATTTGTTTTATGTTTTAAAAGTATTTTCCTTACATTATAACCTATTTATTAAACATAAGGATCTTAGAAGCCTAGCTGTGTTCTCACCATCTGACCACTTCCTTCCTGTTCTATAAAGTTAGGTATTTCTTTCTGTTCTCACTTACTAGTACAAGGCTCTGGAGCACCTGATGATGCAACAGTATTAATAAAGGCTAAAAAGCAACAAAACCCAAGCTCATGAAGATATCTCTGCTACATTTTTCTAAATGACAACTGTGCTTTGTTAATTTTAAGTCAGATATCACATTCCGCAGTATTACACCTTGCAAATCCTGTGAACCATTCTAGATGTTTCAAGACCACACAGTTTACTGAACTTGAAGATGACAGGCTCAAACCATCATTCACAGCTTTTTATCCCACTAAATCAAGCCTATGCTGGTTATGTTCAAAAGTCCTGAAACACTCAAGAGTGTCAGGAAGGAAAGAGGAGAATCTTTTCTCACAGGTTTAAGCCTGATGTGTCACGTTAATGACAGCAGCTGCTAGATTCTGTTGCTCTTTGAGTGCTCCCAGGTAATCTTAGCAGAGGGCACCACAGTTAAAGCCTCGGAGTTTAAGCTAAATTATGAAGCACAGTAAGACACTTCTGGTATGGAACATGAAACCATGGCAGGTCAATACAGGAGAGTCTATCCTGCTTTTGAATGACTTGGAAATCAAGGAGAGGATTCAGCTATCAGCACTTCCATCCTATGCCTCTGAACCACAAACAGCAGCAGTCAGCTGGGATTTTACAAGCCTTGTTTTGATACAGACAATCAGTTCACAAGGCACATTCTCCTTTGGACAGCATAATGCAAGAAACATACTGAAAGGCATAAAATCAGAAAAGACAAAAAAACAACTCCCTCAACACCGAAGCACTGCTGAAATGAAACTTCACTGGAGGCTCAGCTGGTCCCAGACAGACCAGAGCACAGGATGGTTGTGAAATGCTGGGTAACATCAGACCAGCATTTTCATCCTAAAACATGAAAATGATGGGCATATACAATGACGAAGCAGAAAGGATTACAATACACATCCTTACCATAGACTAGGTTAGAATTCTGTTGCTTCAACTCCTGGACAATATCCACCACCATTGCAAGAAATGATGTGTCTCTTGTATACCCTTTGGAGAAAAAGACACTTTTGAAGTCTGTTTTCATGAACGTCTGTTTTGTTAATTTTGGATAGGAAT